CTGAAGAACAACCAATCTCTTTGGCTGTTCTGGGGCAAGTGGGGTATGGAGGTAGAAGTCTCATCTGGTTAGCCGCAGGAGTTGTCCTGTGAGTCAGTACTGGCTAGTTAGAAAATGCTTCTCTAACTGAATGTAAGCCAAAATATTCTGTAAAGCCTTGTTTCCAACCACATTTTTTTTGGATTAGTGGCCAAAAAACCCCAGCACATGAGGAAAAAAAAAAAACAAAACACTGGAAAACAAAACAGAAGATGGCTTTTGAGGTTTTCCTTTGCATTGGGATGTTCAGAAGAAGAAGGGAAGCTCTTGCGCTCTCTCTGACACTTGGGTTGGGGTGGAATCTGGAAAGCACATATTTTTATTAATTCACATACTCAGAAAAGAGAAAAAAAATCTCTACGTAATCCCCAGACAAGGGGCGCTGGTGCTAAGCCTCATTTTCAGGAAAGAAAACATGGCAAAATTCGAGAGAAACACATGCATAAAAAGGAGGAAATATGAACAAATCAGAAAAGCTATGTTATATCCCGTTTCTATCCTGATGGCTTGACAAGTTGCTTCCCCCGCTCTCATTTCCATGTTTTTTTCCATTCTGTCTCCATGCAGCGTTAAGGGGACAACAACGGGGTCAGGATGGGCATGAGCTGTGTGTGGAATGCCCACCCCACCTCCCCCCCAAAAGTGACTTCAGTCAATATCTCCCCATGGAGCAGCACGGATGATATTCAAGCCTCTGCGAGAGGGGTCCGGAGGAGCAGGGTGCTGAATGCAGGCTGCAGCTGCCAACCCCTCCCTACAATGCCACACTGTTATGCAAAATTGTCAAGTGCACATCACAACAGCTGTACTTCTCAACAGGAAAAAACTCTCTGTCATGTGCCTGGATGCACCCTTCATTTTGTTTCTATTTTATCTAATTCTGCTGACAAAGGACATCCTCTGGGGACAGGATCTCTTCGTATCAGGTGAGGCATAAATTCCAGCAGTACTTCGACCCTCTCCCAGGAGGAGAAATGGGGCCTAAACATTTCAGAAAAGGTCAGAAAAGCATTAACATGTGCCAGCCAGATGTGAACAGATTTGTGACATGACTTTCACACTGTCACTGCAGGACTCTGGAACCATTTCAATGGGGTGAAACACGTCACTGCCAGTGCTCCCAGTGCAAGTCTGGGCTGGGTTCACAGGCTAAGAGAAAAGGGTTTTTCCACATTAAAGGCTTTCTCTCCTCTGTCAGTAATAAACAAGGGAAGAGAGGAGCCTATCCTGTTCCTGCGGGCCAGGTTACTCACATTTTACAACGCTTGGAGCACATGCACGGAAGGAAAAAAAAGACAGCATACAAACATAGGAAAATCTTTCTGGGACCAGAATATTTTCCCATCTGTCCTGTCATCAAGGCTGGCCAAGAGCAGATGCCAAAGCAGAGCACAGACATGAGGCAGATAAGTAGCAATATCCCTGTGAGCTCCCACAAGGACATGTCAGTATGCAGTTTGGGGCCTCTGCCTGACCTTTCCCACACTGGGGTTGAAATCCAAGGTGAGTCCTGCTGCAGGGGTCTGCTCCAGCCTCCTTGAATGCATCCTGATGCCCCCAGCCACGGCTATGGGAGCCATCCCCCCAGACACGTCATCCAATCTGCTTGTGCGCACCCATTGCTACCCATGTTCTGTTGCTTAGCACCAGTGATAAACAGGACATATTCCTCTGGCCAGGTGCCTGCCCAAGGCATGCAGGATCATGTCTTCCCCCAAAAACCTCTCTGAACAGCAACATTTGGATTATGAGGCAGTGACGCTATCTGCTGATCACGCTTTATCAATGTCATCCTGCTAGGAAAACTGGCACGGGTCTGCCTGTCCTTTGGCACAGATCTCTTTGCAATCCCCTTGCCATGTTTCCCCCGGCGTTGCAAAACCTCTTCAGGATGGTCTTGGCTCACTGCTAAACATATGGCAGGTTTCTTGCCGGGATTTGTCCAGCCACTTCTCCCCAAGGTCAGGGCTCCCTGCCTCTGGCTCCAGACAGTTCCACAGCTTTTGCCTTCTGTGCCAGTTTGAGTTTTGCTCTGGCAGATAATCTCAGCCACTGCAAGACATACTCAATTTTTCATAAGCTCTTTCCTCAACCTCTCTGATTTTCCAGCATCCCCTTCCAGCTGTCTACAAACTGAGAGAAAAATCCGCCCCTCCCCACTGCACTCCACCCCACAAGGTGCCTCCTTTTAAGCTGCTGTCTAATGCTTCCAGACCACCCCACTGGGAACTGCGGGCTCCTGGCCACTTTAATCGGGGAGAGGTCTTTGGCAGAGGAGGACGCCCCGCTCTCCTCCCCATCCCCATCCCCATCCCCATC